GACGTTTCAAGGGTGGGCTGTAGGCTGGCTTTGGGGCGGGGCCTAGTGCAGGGGGCGGGGCCTAGTGTAGGCACCTCCCCCCCACAACAGGCCCAGACCCCTCCTAGGAGCTCCCCCCTCCGCAGACCCCCCCAACATCAGGGCTGAGGCACAGCAGCCCGGGGGTGGGGAGACATGAGACCCCCGCCGCCCCAGGCACCAGCCCCTGAGCTGGAGGGGAGTCGCTCGGAGCAGTAGAGGGGCTATGACACACCAGGGGGCTGAGACAGGGCTCAGCTTGCCTGGGCCCTCCAGCCCTGTTGCAGGGCCGAGACAGGGGCCTGGCCCTGGAGCCCCCAGTTGATGCCTCAGCCCCTTTGCTCTGCCACCGATTCAGCGTGTGGCCTTGGGTGACTCACTTAGCGCCCCCACGCCCGGTGTCCCGGTGCAGGATGGAGGCCCCCCCGGCTGCATGGTGCAGGGCTGGGAGTAAAGAGAGCAGTGCTCAGCTGCAGTGATGCCCCCCCACTCCCCGCTCCCACGACAAAGATGCTGATCCCCCACACAGCCTGCCCTGGGCTCAGCACCCCGCGCCGCTGCCCGGGTACGTCCATCCAGGCAGGATCTCACATCTCCGGCGCCACCAGCAGAAAGCAGGGCCCGCTGTCCCATCCCCCCCTCCCTGCTCGGAGTCTGCATCTCATTTCCCGTTGGAAGGACCCCAGCAAATTCCTCCTAGCAGTCACAGGGAATCAGGATCCGGCCTCGGGCTTCGGTCCCACGGGGGGAGGAATGCATGGGGCTTCCCGGAGAGAAGTTTGGAGGGGAAAGAGCCCAGGCGGCTTGATCCACTCAGGCCCCAAGAATGCCTTGTTTATGGAAGCAGCTTGCGGCAGCCTCCTGGCACAGCCTGGGCTCACAAGTCGGGCTGCAAATCTTGTCCCGCTGAGCAGGACATGGCCCAGGTCCTGGGCTCGGGGCGTGGAGGCCTGTCCGTCATCAGCCCCAGAGAGCGGGGCACCCTGCCCATGGGCAGAGGCTGCGAGGCTTGGGACCTGGGGTTTCTCCCCCAGATCCTGGTGGGCACGAAGGAATTGGGGTGTGATGGCCGGGTGTCAGTGACTGCACCTCGGCCCCGGGGGGAAGGGGGCAGCAGCAGCAGAGCTGCCAGTGCAAAGATGCTGGATGCCAGCTCCTCACCCGCATGGCTCAGCCTCCTGGGCACTGGGGAAACTGAGGCACAGGGCTTGCCTGAGGTCACCAGCACCCGCAGGTGTCTTGGTCTCTGGCTGCCCCAAGGAAGAGGGGAGCTGGGCACAGCACCAACCTGGTGGGGAGTGTAGTTGGAGGGGCGGGAGGAAACACTTGGCTCTGCTACTACCTCCCAGTGGTCCCCCGGGAAAGTCACTCTGCCCCTCCTAGCCTCAGCCAGGGGCTGGGAAATGGGCACAAAGCTCCTTCCAGGCGCAGCTAGCCTGAGGCTTGGATGAAGCGTGTATGGTGCATGCCTGCCTGCCGGGTGCAAACCTGTCTCCAGCCAGCTCTGAGCTGTGGGGGAAGGCCCTGGACCAGGTCACTGGGGAAAACCGGTCCTAAGCAGCCAGGAGTCCTGTCCTCGCCACCATGACCACGAGCCCACACTGCCCCAGAGCCACTGGGTCTCCTCGCCTGTGCCGCCGGGCTGCACAGCTCCAAGCCAGGGCGAGAACCCAGGAGCCCTGACCCTCTGGCCCAGCCACCCCACCCACATCAGCCCCGAGCCAGCGGTGACATCGGAGAGCTCTGACCCGGGCCAGACACAGCCGCACTCCCACGCCCCACTCCCACCACAAGGCCCGCCCCGCGGGCCAAGTCCAGACTCCCATGCCCTGCCCAGACCTCACGACCACAATCCCCTCCCAGAGTGGGAGAAAACCCAGGCGTCCTGGCTGCCCTCTCTAACCACTAGACCGCACTCCCCTCCCAGAGCTGGGAGACAACCCAGGCGTCCCAGCTGCCCTTCCTAACCGCTAGACCACACTCCCCTCCCAGAGCTGGGAAGAGAATCCTGGCTGCCAGCCTGACTCCAGGCACCAAAGCCGGCTCCCCTCCCACAAAGGGCAAGAGCCCAGCCGT